AAGGGGAAAAATAGATAATAACTTGCCTTTTTGGATTTAAAATAAATCCGCCGGTTGCGCGTAGTCGGGTAAATTTCTTCTACACCGGTCCAAGCTCCTTTCTTTCTCTCTCTTCCTTTCCACACTTTTACAATGGCTCACTAAAAGTTATAACTTTTTCTAACTCCCTTCCATTCCTTCTAAGGTAGGCTAGCTAATTTATATACAATTTATATAATATAAATATTACAAATATCTAATTTTGCATTTAACTAACCATCCCAACCATATGGCTTCAAGTCTTACCCATAAACATTAATGAAATCATATCCTAATCTCTAATTTCATCATGACTTATGATTTAATACTACTATTATTATTATAATTATTATAATAATAATAATAATTATTATTAATAAACTATTATAATAATTATTATTATTATATTATTATTATTATTATTATTAAACTATTATAATAATAATTATTATTATTACATAAGAATACATTATATCATCATAATACTTTATAACACAAATATAATACTTTAATTAACTAATAATGCTTAATTAAACATAATCAACAAATAAAATTATTAATAATAATACATGCACCATTCAATGAACTCAATATAAGAATGGTAAAGAAATCTACACATTAATTAATTCAAATAAACTAAACTCTTTAATAAAATACGGGGTATTACAGGTTCTTGAACCGGTAGAAGAAGTGTGGTACCAGTTTTCACTTGACAGAATTGATAACAAAGACTAAAACCAATTTTGAAAAAATTCTATTTTTGGAAACTTTGAAGAATTTGAACTTTGAATGAACCTACCATGTATGTATAATGTCATAGGTGAGAAACAACTTCCTAAAGTGTTATTCATACCTTTTTTGTAGATCATAGTTTATCAACCTTGAACAACTTTTCAATTCCGTAGCCGATCTCCATCTTAATTTGATAACTTGAAAATCGAACTTGTTTTAACACCGAAATTAGCCGCATCTCACACAATCTTCACTTGATTCTCAACCAATTGATGGGGTAGCAGGGTGAAGCCTTAGTGTTTCCTTTATAATGGCTTGTAGGTGAGGAAGGTTTGCCATATCCGATTCTTCTACCAATCTCTTCTTTTCGACAGCAGAATCAATCTCTTACATTGCCTTCTCCATTACATCTCTACTAATGCCCATCCACTGGTATTGGTTCCAGCAGAAAAAATATCCTGTATGTATATTCAAAAATGTAATATATATCTTCATTGGATTGAATCATAATTTTCTCAAAATAAGAGGGACAAATTGCCATACAATTCAATAGTGTCATTACATTTTTTTAGCAACAATTCAATAGGACCAAAATGAAGAACCTCTTAGGCTAATAATAATTTTCTATATCAAGTAATACTTCCCAACAATTCCAACATAGTTTGAACAATAATTTTTCACCTTTGATTGAGTTTAAAGTTACTGTTAAAATCTTTTTCTTTTTTCATTATTTTATTTTGTAATTATGAAAAAGGTTTTAATGTCTTTTTAGTCAACAGGAAGGACAAATTTGTCCTGCCACTAAATATTCATTGGGTTTGCGTGAAGGTCTGGAGTAGGGTTGAAACTTGGATGAGTTGGGCGGGTTTAAGGTATAACTTGAGTCTAACTCATCATATGAAATGCTAAACCCAAACCCAACTCTAACCCTATCCTCAGACCTTGTTCGCACCCGTTCCTAGCCCTTTCTTTGCCTGACCTTAACTACTCAACCCAAACCCAACCCATCCTTCTATTTTTAAATTTGGATTTGCAACTCTGGCTTAGATTCTGGATAAAAATTTCGGGTTACTCATACAGTTAATCCTTAAATCGAAAATTTAATATGATCTTGAATTAGTTTTAGATTAAATTACTCTTAAATAAGAAAAAATTGAAAGACATTTTGTAGATTTTTAATAAATTGCAAACGAATTTTTAGAAAAATAATTCTTCTAAATGTTAATATAAAATAAGTTAAGATTTAACAAAAGAAGTTAAAAAAAAAAAAAGAGAAGAAGAAGAAGAAGAAGAAGAAGAAGAAGAAAGGAAAAGAAAAGTAATCATAATTTAAATATTATACGTAATGTATTTAAAAGTAAAAATATATATGAACATAATATTAGAATTCGGGTTCGGGTTGATTTGGGTTATTAGTACTTCAACTCAAGTCCAACTCTAATTATCGTGAAAAATCGAGTTCAACTCTAATTAAATTTGAGAAAAATCGAGTTGGGTTCGAATTACCCAACTCAAATGCAGCTTTAGCCTAGAGTAAGACTAGGGAATTGTGAGTTTTCCTTCATTGTCTCGTTCAATGAAAAGTTGTCGTAACTTTTTCTTTTCTTTTTTATCACGAAAAGTTATAATAACTCATAGTTTTAAAATTACAAAATTTTCTTTAAAATTAGATACCTCGATCTTAAATATTTTTTAAGTATTTTATGCTTTTTCAAAGTATTGATCGAGCATGCGACTCACTAGTCACTACCGACAGGTCCAGACTCTTCTCCACTCTTCTCCAACAACTTGATCAAACATGGTCCCAATAATTTATGTCTCGGTAGACTTATAACACGTCCAGACTCTTCTCCGACAACTTGATCAAACATGGTCCCAATAATTTATGTCTCGGTAGACTTATAATACGTCCAGACTCTTCTCCGACAACTTGATCAAACATGGTCCCAATAATTTATGTCTCGGTAGACTTATAACACGTCCAGACTCTTCTCCGACAGCTTGATCAAACATGGTCCCAATAATTTATGTCTCGGTAGACTTATAACAGGTCCAGACTCTTCTCCGACAACTTGATCAAACATGGTCCCAATAATTTATGTCTTCGGTGGACTTTTCTTCATTGGAATTATGCACCTTGGACAGCTAGTCCCAGGCAAGAAGGTAAGTATTTTATGTATTTGGCGCACCGTGTATGCGCCCCCAGTAATCAATATCTATTCCCCGCAAGACAGATATTTGAACCAAATTACTGTCAAATTTTGTTCTTTGCAAAATGATTTTACTTGAAGAGATGAACACAGTTTCTTAATCGAATAATTTTAATTGGTTAATGAATGACAAATATAAAACAGTGAGACTATTATATTTTCTTATTAGATAAATCAAATATATTCGTTTAGAAAATTCTGTCCAATTTTTCAACTCAAATATCACTTACTCTTTGGTTTTTTTTTTTTTATTATTTATTTTCCATCAAATTACTTTCAATTGGGCTAAAAAAAAGAGAGCCACAAATACAATAGTCACAAATGCAGATCTCTCTCCAACTTTTGAGACCAGAAAAATTATAATGCAACTCTGATATAATTTTGATCGATTAAATGTTAATATCCAACTATTCAAGTTATAGATTGAGACAAGTACAAAAAACACTCCTAATATATACTTCGCCTGATATTTTTATCCTCTCCGTTGAAAATAAAAACAGAGTAAATGCAATAATTTAGTAAAGAATCAGAATTCAATAATTTAAAGGCATGACCTTTTTCACTATAGCAGATAAAATGTCTTGGTCGATCATTAACAATGGCTGTCTCATCTAGACCTAATACCAAAAGTCGTCTCATCATGTCAAGCCATTAAGGTTTTTTATTTTTATTTTTATTTATGATGAAACTCTCTCTTGTTCTTTATTTTTTTGTCTGAAAATTTTAAGAATTAAATTATCAAAATTTTAAAAATTAAATTTTTAGTACTGAAATTTTTAATTTTAAGATACTCAAGAAGAAATTTGTCTTATCTTTTTGGATCTCAAAAATAAAAATAATGAATTTTGATAATATAAACCGAGAATTGATATAAATGTTATCTATAGTATAACATATCATCCTTCAAAGAGGCCTCCTTCAAAAAATTGAGCCAGCCCTGACCTTGGACTAGTATTTTAATAGTACTTCGTATAATATTATATTATTCAACAATGAAAGATCAATTGATATTGTACTTCTTTACATATTGTTTTTTCTTTTTTTTTCTTTTCTTTATGTGTTGGTGACTTTGCACCTCTCCTCTCCTCTCCTCTCCTCAAATATTCGTGTCATGAAACCAAAAAAAAAAATTTATAAAACTTACGGTACCACAAACCTTTCAAAGAAAAGTCCTCTGGATCAAATGTCCAGCCCATTATGTTAAAGGACAGTAGGGTCGGGTGCAATTTGAATGCTTCATTGGACCCTTTTATTGTGTTGGCGAGGAATTATTATATCAACCCGTCTCTCGTCAATCACCATTTAACAATTGTTCTTCAGTTAGGTGTCAATTGATTGCTCGCCGTTGGGGTTGCATACTGATGGATTCAGATAAATATTTGTGTAAATTGGTTGAATTCGTCGATTTATAAAGATGTATAATGATATTAGAGTGTTGAAAAAGAATTACGAACCGACCGATACAGCAAACCGTGATTATTGTTTGACAAAACTAAAAATTAAATACTGAAAATTTTAAGAGTTTTAATTTTAAATGCAAAAACTTTTAAGCAAAAAATATTCCCGATTTTAAGAATTAACAGAGCCTATATGTGAATATATTGTACATTAATGGATTGTTTTGGATAATTTGAGCCAAAAATAAACAAATTGTCCATTTATTTATTTATTATTAAATATTTTTTTTTTTGCAAACCAAGTTGTCTTTTAAAATTCGACAGGAATATGGAAAGATGACCTTTTAATGAATAAAAAAATTACAAAGAGCCCGCCCTCATAAATACCTGCTCCATACATTACTTCTATTTTTATACAAAATAATGTAGTCAACTTTCTCCTTTAATTACCAAAGGACTCGAGCCTCGGAAAAATTCTACCTAGTATTTTGACACTTGGTACCTCTTGTAATGTTTATGATATATATATATATATATATATGGTGTGTATGGGTATTGTATGTGGTAGAAAAGGAAAGAAGAAAAGTCAGAGTGTAAGTGGGACCTACCACTAATGTACTTAAAGGCTTAAGGCCACATTTTTTTTAGTCTCATTTCCTCTCTGTCCGGGCAGTGCACTTTTTCCTCTCTTTTCTGCTCTTTTTTCTTTTTCATTTCTCCACAATTTCAAACTTCAATTCCTCCCTCATTTGTGAGAATTTTTGGGTGCCGTTTGCGGCAAATCGAAAAGCTCGACGAGATCTTCACGTCTACATAAACTATTTCAGCTTTTGGTCTCCCCTAGGATTTCGAATTTGAGACCCTTTTTGAGGGTTTTACTACAAATTTGAGGTAGGTCTCTAATTTATGGTCTTCTTATACTTTTGTAAATGTATTTCTTATATATTGTGTAATTGTATACTTAATTAGTAAAAGTTCTTGGAAATTGCTTAAATGTCATATATGAAATTGTGACAAGGTGTAAATTGATTGTATTGTGTTTAAGCATGCTTATGTGGAATAAATTTGTGATTTGTATGCTTAAATTATTAGAAGAAAAAAAAAAAAATGAAAGCATGAATTATGTGTTCTAGTAATTTATTTGAAAAAGCATGTGAGAACTTTATGGTTGAATTTATGAAATGATGTGTATTTTAGTAATTTATTTGTAAAAGTATGTGGGAACCTTATGGTTGAATTTATGAAATGAAGCATGAAGCATTCATGCATCCATTAGAGAAAAAAAAAATGTTTTAAAATAAATGGAATTATTTTGGGGAAAATATTTTCAAAGGTGTTTGCGAAAACCGGACGCCTAGGAGGCGCCTAATGGTCCGTGTTGCTAGTGTAGTCTAGAAGGGAGTATGGTTTAGTTAACTAGGTCAGATGCGACACCTTGGAGGTGTCTTGTGGTCGTGGATAGTTAGTCGACCCTCCATTCGTGACGCCTTGGAGGTGCCTTGGGTCGGATTACACTAACGGTTTAGAAGTTGAAACGAAAATGTTTTGGAAATGGGGAGCGACATTTGCATAACATTGTACTTCATGACATTGTGGGAAATTTTTGATTGGTTGACATTTGCTACATACTTGTTGTTGTGGTTGAGAATATGTATTTCCCATGGTATGACCCCGTTCCTTTTTACCCATTCTTTGTGTGGAATTCACGGGGATATAAGAAATATTCAGGATACGAAAAAAAAAGGTGGCGGACAATGATCCACCACAAGTTTAGACTTGATTGGAGATCTATTTTATTTTGCTAACTTTTGTATTAGAACTCTAATATTTTGTAAATGTAATCTTAACTATTTTGTGAAATTTTAGTTTAATTGGTATAATGTTGTAAGTTATGGACTTTTAAATTTTAGCTACATTTATAGATTGTAACTTGATGTAGTTAAGGTGTGTTCCTTGTTTGAATGAGATGGAGGAACGGGTCTTTTTACATGAATGTAATCATTTTTGGGAATGTGATATAAAGATTTTATTGAGCGTTGGGACAGAATAGGTTAGTTTTAAGGCCCAGTGAGGCCATTGCATTTTTATGTATTTCAACAGGTTGCAGGGGGACTTTTTATGTGGAGGTCATGCCGAAATTTTATATATTTTATTATTATTATTTTGGTATCTTTTTGGGTTGTTACAAAATTGGTATCAGAGCGTTAGGTTCGAATACCTCTCGGACGACGGGTAGTGGCTTGCCTAGAGGAGTAAGGGGTTGACCTACAATGATTGCGCGCCTGTGTTTACGTGTTTACTGTTTTAAAAAGCATGCCTACTTTTTACCTGCTTATATGTTTATGGTTTTGAAAGACATGTTTTCTTGATAAGTGTTCACATGCTTATGTGTTTAAATGCTAGTAAATATAAACGAAGTGTACATGTTAAATGAAAGCATGTTAATTATGAAAAGATGACGAGTATAAGGAATGTGGTGACAACACGTGGTAGGCACAGTGTGTGCAGTTTTGTTTTAATGATAATATGGCAAATAGTGAGCACGGTAGGTGCAAACATGTTTCGTATGGTATTGTGGGTTTCATTCATTTTGTATAAGTATATATATATCTCTATTCTTATGTGTTTATGCGGTTGAGCATAGGGATGATTGTTAGTACAGTAGAGTACTTATCACGTAATAGATGGTCGTGTGAGTTTTGACCTGAGTAGGTGAGGAGCTCGGTTGCTCCAGGGTTGTTTGGGTGTTAGTTCTTATCAGACGAATGGCTTGGTCTTTTAGCTCGTGGATTGAGCTATTTGGTGTGTGGTCATTTTGATCTTTTTGGTGCATTTTGTGCGGTGCTTAGAGCACGACTTTAGAATAGGTTCGTATTTTGTGGTATGGTGTCTTTGTTGTGGGTGAATTCCATACATTGGTGTATGAGTCCTGGTGACAGTGCAGGTTAAGTGTGCGAGTGAGGGCTCCGGTATGACCTTAGGAGGTTAGTGTTTGTGACTTGGGTCACAGTTTGGTGCAGAGGTTCTTTTCGAACCGATTGTGGTAGGTGTGGTAAAGGTTGTTTATGCCACGAATGTAGCCTACGGGTGGTAGAGGTGTATCTTCTAGTACGGTCTGAGGAGGCGTGTTGGTTCCGACTGTCGTGGGGACTCGTTGGATTCTGTAGGTCTGGGATGATATAGGACCGGTTGTAGGATGCGGAGTATTTTGTGGTCTTGTAAGAGTCTGTTTTAGAGACTGATTTGTCAAAAAAATGATTCTCATTTTGGATAGTTGTAGGAGCATAATATGGGTAATTAACTCTCGGTAAGTCGGTTGTATAGTTCAGTGGATGGGCGAAGTTCTGGGTTGGCACGGTTGTCTAGAGAGTCTTGATGAGGTATATAGTGGTCGATTTTAGTTGTGTAGTGCAGGATTGCAGTATAAGGCAGGTTATATGAGGTCATTAGAGTGCTCGGTTGTTTACGAATAAAGTGACTGGTGATAAGTATTGTGTTACCAAATAGATTATGTTTTGGGAGTTGAAAGTTGTGGACTAGAATTGAATTTTATGTTGCGTCTGAGGTATAAGGGGGTAGTGCTTGTTGTTTAAGGATTCAAAGGGATAGACTAATGATTAGAATGATTGGGATGAGGGTGATTTCGTAGGTCTAGTAGGTAGCTCCATTTGATTGTTTTGTCGGCACCAAGGGTGTTCTAAGGAACGGTGAAGAGGAGGGGTAGTGATGTTGATGCTTAGACGTAAGGTTTCTTTGGCTGAGTATGTAGGTTGTTTTGGGGAGAACGATCGGAATGATCGATTAAGTATTGGTGATTGATCGCATCGTTGGTGGTATCGAGGTGACAGTTGGGTGTTGAGCATTTTGGGTCTTATGCTCATTTATGTTTTGAGGATTTACTAGCATGACACTACGGTATAGAGACTCTTTTAGTGGTAAATATTGGTCATTGTGGGAGAGAATGGAGAGTAATGTTTATTCTCTTGTTATGATGGTATTATCTTAAGGATGTTTGAGGAAAAATCCCTTAGTAGTGACTTAATGATCTGGTGGGATGAGAGGTTTGAGTTGTCATTTGAGGATGATGGTAACAGAGGTGTTCTGGCGTGATATTTAATGCTAATGCGCAGAATGGTTTAAGGTATGATCTGAACGTGGTTTAGGGATCATGAGTTGTTTGTTATGTGTTGTCGGTTATGTGATGGGATTGTACACCAATTGAGGCGATTGTGAATAGCTTAGTCTTTAAAGCCAGTGAGAGCGGTGTTGCTATATAGGCACCTTTTTCTTTTGAAGAGTCAGTGGGTTGTTGTGACTGAGGTCACAGGTCTTATGTGCACGGTGATCGAGGTAGTGTCGCCTAAGAAGGTAGAGATAGAATGGGTAGTAATGTATCATTTTATGATTTAGAGGTTGTCATTTAGGAGTGACGGTTTCCATATGGAACAGGATGCGGTGTCCGATGGGTTGTGATCGTTTCTAGTGTCAGTGTGTCATGAGCGTTGGTGTTCTTATCTGATTGATTTTGGGTTAGCATGGGTGTTACAGAATATTGTGTGTGAGGTTTCTATGTTGATAGTGTATAATAGTCCGTTAGTGGCGAGGTCGCCTAAAATTGAATTCGTAGTTCCATACGGGTATCCATTTGGTTCTTCTCCTTGTGTGTAAGGAGTTTAGTTCATCTCAGGTAAGATTGGGTGTCTATGGTTGGACAGTTGGTGTGTAGCATGTGACAAGGTGTCCGATGCATTCAGGTGCGAGTCGTCAATCTCTTGTAAAAGCGAGGTTTGTTACCCTTTCTATTTGTTCTAGTCCTGGCAAGGATGTCGTTTGTCGCCAGACTTGTACTCCATTTAGGAGTTGTGTGCGTCCGTGGGCGGACGGATTTGTGAGCGGTTTGTTACGCTGTTAGAGTTCATCGATTGAGGTCCTGATTAAAGGGGTCAACTCACTCCCACGGGGGGGAGGTGAAGTCTTCGGTTTTTATAGTGTTTGTTTTGAGAGTGGTTTTGACTGGTAGGATGTGAGGCACGAGTTGCTGAATAGGGGTTATGTTTTCGATGTTTAATACTAGCGGTAATGGCTAGGAAATGTGTCGTGAATTGCAGCTTGAGGATAATTAGGTGATGTGATGTGATGTGACTCATGTATTTGGATGTTTTTAGAGTTGATTGATTCTAGCAGTGTCTTGAGGACAAGTGTTGGTATTGTTTGAATGTTTTGCAGTTAAATCATGATTATGGGATTCCGTTGAAGAACTGTAGGAATGATTCACCTTGGTTTTGAGGTTTCAGGCATGAGATAGTCGCATTGTGTGTTTTGACGGGGTAGGAATTGAATCGAGTAATGTTATGAGTTGTTTACCTAGTATGGGTATTATGAGAAGATTAGAAAGCTTTGGTGCTGGTCGATAATTGTGACGTTTGGAGTCATATTGTTTTTAGCTTGTTATGATTGTGTGATTAAGGAATGATTGAGCTTCGTAGCGCTGGTATGCAATTGCATAGTGGTTGAGGTTACGTATAACAATGGATGGATAATGAGTAAACCTCATTGTTGTTTTGTAGACTGTGTGAGACTGTGTTTGAGGTATAGACCTAAGGACAGGAACGACATCTGTGCGGAGACCGGATCAAGGATGAGGATGGCCTGGCCAACCATTTCTCTTGAATCAATCCTTCTTTAGCACGATGTCGGGTCAAAGGTCAATGATTGTTTTAAGTTGTCACGAATAGTGAGAGTACGGTATCACGGGTTGAGTTGGTGTGATAGTGTGGATTCAGGTGGTTGTCTCGAGTAATGAGGTGTGTTAGGTAAGACCAAGTATCCGATAAAGGGGTTTGTGGTACAATCACTGATTATTGAAGATCTTGTTTTGAGAATTTAAGTCCTAAGTACATGATAGTACGCTTTATTGATTGGTGACTCATGATTGTATGGTTGTTGGGAGATTCATTATTTAGCTATCTTGAGGTTGTTAAGTATAATGATTGCCGAATGGTGCGGTTGGTGGTTGCTTGTACCGATATATGGTGGTGTAATTATGTGTTACGTGGCGAGTGTTTGGTTTGATAGGGACGTGCAGATTGAGTTTGAGCTAGATTGTGTAATGAACGGGGTTCCTTGTTTGGGATTTTGTGTGTCCTTTAAAGGATGGGTTGAGATAGGATATTGTCATATTCAGGGGTCTTGTGACCGTTTTTCTTTGGACTCTGAAGCCTTGTGTAGTGGTGTAGAAGGGATCAGTATTGGTTTTAAGTTGAGTGCAAAATCCAGCGGGTTTTATGTATGATGTTGTGAGTGGTGTTGTGAGTGATGTTGTTGAGTTCTTAGCTCTACGGTTTGGTGAGGTGTTTCTCGAGAAGGTGTGTGGTGGTGGGCCTCCTTCTTTAAGGAGGATAGATTTCGAGGACGAAATCTTTTAAGGAGGGTAGATTGTAATGTTTATAATACATATTGATGTATGTATATATATATATATATATATATATATGTATTTATGGTGTGTATGGGTATTGTGTGTGGTAGAAAAGGAAAGAAGAAAAGTCAAAGTGGAAGTGGGACCTACCACTAATGCACTTAAAAGCTTAAGGCCACATTTTTTTTAATCTCATTTCCTCTCTCTCTCGGCAATGCACTATTTCCTCTCTTTTCTTCTCTTTTTTCTTTTTCCTTTCTCCACAATTTCAAGCTTCAATTCCTCCCTCATTTGTGAGAATTTTTAGGTGCTGTTTGCAGCAAATCGAAGAGCTCGGCGAGATCTTCACGTCTACACAAACAATTTCAGCTTTTGGCCTCCCCTAGGATTTCGAATTTGAGACCCATTTTGAGGGTTTTCCTACAAATTTGAGGTAGGGGTCCTTAATTCATGGTCTTCTTATACTTTTGTGAATTTATTTCTTATATATTGTGTAATTGTATGCTTAATTAGTAAAAGTTCTTGGAAATTGCTTAAATGCCATATATGAAATTGTAACAAGGTGTAAATTGATTGTATTGTGTTTAAGCATGCTTATGTGGAATTAATTTGTGATTTGTATGCTGAAATTGTTAGAAGAAAAAAAAAAAGAAAAGAAAAGAAAGAAAGCATGAATTGTGTGTTCTAGTAATTTATTTGAAAAAGCATGTGGGAACTTTATGGTTGAATTTATGAAATGATGTGTATTTTAGTAATTTATTTGTAAAAGTATGTGGGAACCTTATGGTTGAATTTATGAAATGAAGCATGAAGCATTCATGTATCCATTGGGAAAAAAAAAATGTTTTAAAATAAATGGAATTGTTTTGGAGAAAATATTTTCAAAAGTGTTTGCGAAAACCGGACGCCTAGGAGGCGCCTAGTGGTCCGTGTTGTTAGTGTAGTCTAGAAGGGAGTATGGTTGAGTTAACTAGGCCAGATGTGATGCCTTGGAGGTGCCTTGTTGTCGTGGATAGTTAGTCGACCCTCCATTCGTGACGCCTTGGAGGTGCCTTGAGTCGGATTACACTAACGGTTTAGAAGTTGAAACGGAAATGTTTCAGAAATAGGGAGCGACATTTGCATAACATTGCACTTCATGACATTGTAGGAAATTTTTGATTGGTTGATATTTGCTACATACTTGTTATTGTGGTTGAGAATATGTATTTCTCATTGTATGACCCCGTTCCTTTTTACCCATTCTTTGTGTGGAATTCACGGGGATATAAGAAGTATTTCTTAGACACTTCCTACTGAACTTATACTCACCCCATTATTTTTTAACATTTTTTAGGATACGGAAAAAAAAAAAGCTGACGGACACGATCCACCACAAGTTTAGACTTGATTGGAGATTTATTTTATTTTGCTAACTTTTGTATTAGAATTCTAATATTTTGTAAATGTAATCTTAACTATTTTGTGAAACTTTAGTTTAATTGATATAATGTTATAAGTTATGGACTTTTAAATTTTAGCTACATTTATGAACTGTAACTTGATGTAGCTAAGGTGTGTTCCTTGTTTGGATGAGATGGAGGAACGGGATTTTTTATATGAATGTAATCATTTTTGGGAATGTGATATAAAAATTTTATTGAGCGTTGGGACAGAATAGGTAAGTTTTAAGGCCTAGTGAGACCATTGCATTTTTATGTATTTCAACATGTTGTAGAGGGACTTTTTATGCGGAGGTCATGCCGAAATTTTATATATTTTATTATTATTATTTTAGTATCTTTTTGGGTCGTTACACCTCTCCCAATCAAAATTTCTTATTTCTCTTGAAAGTCTTTTCTTCTTTATTTACCAAAGAAATTAACAGCTTTGATTGGGAGGGATAATAAGTGTCAAAATATTTGGTAGAATTTATTCCGGCCATGAGCAATGGTATAAAGCTCTTTTACTTCTTTGAATGGTTAAGTATCAGTATCCATGCCTCGAAAAAATATATATATAATAAGTGTGTTTGATTGAACTTTTCGATGAAAAAAAAAAAAAAAAAAAAAAAAAAATCCCCAAATTCCACAATTTCACCTTTCTGGGAAATGGTTCTCTGTACGGCTAAATATATACTATTATTCTCCATTGTTTAAGGATCCACAATATTTGCAAAATTATTGTTATCTCAAGTCTTCTCATATAATTACTATAATTAAGTAAATCTTAAGATTCCATGAATTGTGCAAAACAATTAATTTTATGGCCAACTTGTCTCTAAAATTTAACTCGGATTATTATTAGACTTCAATTTTGGAAGATGACCAATATTGGCTGAGAAACAAACTAATAAAATACTCTGGTTCACACGAGTGATAAACAAATTAAGTTGCAATATTAAGCCCAGTTGCAATGACAACTCGAGTGCATGTTCGCTATTGAAGGACCAGACAGAGATGGTTAGAGGCAGTTTATGAATTTAGTAGAGTAATGAGAGAATGAGAGAGATATAGCCTCATGAAAAAAGTTAATGGGCAGAAGTACGTAATTTATGAATTTGGTAGAGTAGTACGAATATCTATGGCAAAAGGGAATATCACGGAGTGCAGAGGTTTGTGGATAGGGTTCGGTGCTGGATATTTTCTATTATTGTAACATTTCTACACAAACAATGTATGTCGGGTTTGCTTTATTTCTTCCTGTTAAATCTTTTATCTTAATGGGCTTCCCAATAAATGGCATCAAAAATATATATTTCTGATGTGGAAGTAGAGTCAATCAATTAGCTTCTTTGATCACGATAATCAATAAATCGTGATGGATTACACAACATAGAACTCGAATAGTCACGATAGAATCTTGGAGATTTGACTCATCGAGCCATATACATTGAGGACAATCAAAATTGTGTAATCCATCACGATTTGTTAGAGTAATGAGAGAATGAGAGATATATATAACCTCGTGAAAAAGTTAATGGGCTGAAGTATGTAGTTTATTAATTTGGCCGAGTAGTGCGAACATCTACGATGAGAGGGAGTATCATGGAGTGAACAGGTTTATGAATAGGGTTCGGTGCTAGATATTTTCTATTATTGTAACATTTCTACACAAACAATGTATGTAGGGTTTGCTTTATTTCTTCCTGTTGAATCTTTTATCTTAATGCGCTTCCCAACAAATGGAATCAGAAATATACAAAACACAAAGGGTCTCAACAGGTGTTGAAGTAGAGTCGATCAATTAGCTTATTCAATAAATCGTGATAGATTACACAACATAGAACTGGAATAGTCAAACAATGTAGTTCTTGGACTTAATTAAGTTTCTATTTTAAAATTATATTTTGAAAGGATTTTTGGTTAGGCAAGTCATGGACTCCAAAACTCACATGAGGTGAGCCACAATTAGTGGGCTACCTACAAGGCCTTGTCACCATCTATCTTCTCCAAACTTTTCTTCCCAGAACTCTTACCTGCCAACTCGCATTCACGACAAGCCCATTCGCACACCAAATCCACCCCTAAAATTCATCTGAAATCTCTTCAACCCATGGGACTTTGCTTCTCTATTGATCAACGATTCAAGTTAGTAATATATCGCATAAAAATACGCCTTAAATTGACCAATCTGAGTCACGAAATAACTAGGGTTTCACACATTCAATCACAAATTTTCTCCTCAAATCCGCAACTATTTAACACAATTCCAAGCAAATAAAAAATTTCAAATCCAACGCACCAATTTGGTGCTCCCAAACATAATGGTGTTAGAAAGCAATGCTAGTCTCATCTATTTTGACAATCAATTTCAACAAAACCCATCAAGTATATAAGAACATAGGATTAGTAAATTTACATACAAGGAATGCGCCCATGGAGATATATATATATATATATTCTAAATTCATAAAATACACATGTTTAGAGATGTACATAAAGATGTTTTCTCATAGTACTGAGCTTATTACACACAAATGAAGCAGTTTTATATTACAATGTCCATCAAATGCCAAATTAGTTCAATACACTCACCAACAAGGAAGAAAATATTACAATTTCTACAAATTTAAGAGTACTTTCAATATAAAGGAAGGCTGGGTGAAAAGTATCAAATACTCTGCCTCCTTTAGCCCTTCTGTGTCTGCTGCATGATACCGGGAGGCCTTTTAGCAACACTAGCTATGAGTCACTCCCAAGGGTCCTGTTAAGGTCAAAATGATAAAGCCCGAATTAAATAATTAAATCTGGAATTGCTTGATAACTATCCCCACAACATCTAACTTCAACAATTTAATCAATGAAGTACAAGAGAATGGACACTCTAAGCTGAGGTTTCCTGCAGTAAGAAAAGAGTGTTCTAGACATCCAAAACTACAGCTTTGACATGATCATACGAAGTTCTATGTATTCCAAGAAACAAAGAATATAACTCTGTGAATCAAGTAAACAAGAAAACTGTTGTTGGCTAACAACTAGAATAGTTTTATTAACTAATAGCGAAATGGGATGAGTGACAATGCTTCATGTATATGAAAATTAAAGCTACATTCAGTTAACTTCAATTTAAATATAATGAAAACCGATAAAGAAGTTTTCCTTGGGAAATCAGAATTGCAGTTTATTAAGATAAAATTTTAAAAAATGTACAACTAGACTTGAAGTTTGTTGTTGATGGTAATTTCAAGGTATGCTGTTCAACATGCAGAGTGGAAGCTTTCCAGTCTGCTGTGTTTGTGTTCTCTCTCTCTTTTTTCTCTCTTTTTTCAAAGCCTAATGGATTAAAAAGAAATTAATTTACAATACCAGGACATTTTCGCATGCATTTAGTGACAGTTACACAAAGACAAGACTCAAGATATTGCACAATGTCATTTACCTAGATCATATGTTGTCCCAGGGCGTGTTAGTATAGCAAATATTGATCCTCTAGTCAAACAAGTTTTAACCAAGAGTGAAAAAATGACGATAGTGTTGGGGATTGCAATACACAGAGTATGTAGAAAGGAAAATGAGCCAGTAGAGCATATATTGATAAAATGTCCAGTAAAACTTCCATAGAAGCTTTCCTCATTAAGCTTAGAAGTTACTAAGATGAATGGCAAATCCTGGATGGATCGGTGGAGGCACCCAGATAAAAAATGGGAAGGAGAGGACAGAAAAGAAAATTGTTGGTGGCTATCTTCATCTCTGATGGTATTTTTGGAAGGTTAAAATGATGTGGTGTATAATGGGGAAGAGGTGGAAGAGAAATCAGAACAAAGGTAATAGTTCAGTTTATGAACATCCAGATAACATTGAAGAGTTCAAAACTAGTTTTACTAGACAGGAAGAAAAGGGCAAATCAGCTGAAAAAATGGAAACATCCAGCTTGCGGATGAAAAAGAAGATAAATGTTGATGCAGCATATTGTCAAATGACAAAAGCGGGAGGAGGTGGTATCATTGTGAGAAATGCAAATAGATGTGGTAAAAGAGTTTTTGTGAGGTGGTTCCAACATGTAGCTAATGCTTGAATGGCAAAGTCATTGATATTCAGAATAGCAGTTCAAATGGCAGCTCAATGGAGGTTTGGCAAATGCAGTATTTGAAGTAATGTTTGGCACTTCAAGGATAATCAATTGATTCAAGTGCAATAGACAATTATACGAGATATTTGCTCCGTATTGCATCAACAGGAGGCTTATATGTTAAACAATGTTCCAAGATCAGGCAGTGATGCAGCACAAGTTAGTTAAAAAAAAAAAACTGTTCTTCATAATAAACTACATGCAATTTGATTACCTTATTCCATGCATTCAGTGAGAGTGTAACAAAGAACAAATGTTTAAGAAATTGCACAAGTTCATTCCCTAAATCATAAATACTCCCACAGTATGTTACTTGCTAATATTGATCATCTACTCGAAATTAGTTTATATCAACAGTGAAACATTAAGAATTTAAGATTTTGGGGATACCAGAAAAAGCAATTTGCCGAGCATGTATGTAAGAAAGGACAGTGAGATATCACTGCTGGTATTTGTGGAAAACTAAATATGATATGGTGGATGATGTGAAAAGATGGAGGGAAAGCACAACCAAGGAAATAGATCAGGCATTGAACATTTAGAGAATTGAAGAGTTCAAAACTAGTGTTGCTACCAACAGGCATGTGGCCTAGTGGTACAAGGCTCCTACTTCCCAAAGGGAGGTCAGGGGTTTGAACCTCAATGGAGGTAGTGTGTGTGAGTCCCAACTAAAAAAAAAAAAAAACTAGTGTTGCTAGACGGGAAGGTATGACAAATAGTTGGCAGAATTGAAACATTCAGCCCACGATAGATGAAGATAAATGTTGATTCACCATATTGTTAACCAACAAGAGGAAGGAGGAGGTATAATTATAGAGATGCAAATGGATGTATTAAAAGAGTTGCTGCGAGGTGGTTCAAATGTGTAGCAGATGCTCAGATGGCAGAATCATTGACATTTAGAGTAGCAGTTCAAATGGCAGCTCAATGAAGGTTCAGGAATGCAGTTTTTTAAAAGGTGCTTTGGTAATTCTAAAGGCGGTTCAAGGAGAGTCAAGTGGTCATGTGCTTTGGAGACAAATTATTCGAGTTATTTGCACTGTATTGTATCAAGAAGAGCCTACTATGTATGTTAAAAACATGTTCCAAGATCATGCGATGATGCAGAATACAAGTTAGTTAAAAAGATTTGCTCTGACAAAACAAACTGCATGCAAATATTGTTGACAATTTTACTGAATGGATTGTAAAGCTGAATGTGATTGTATTATTGTATATCTCAATTCTATTTGATGAATGAATAAAAAATTCTCCTTGACAGAAAAATTAATAGGAAAAAAACAAGAAAGTTCCGCAACATGAAAAATTCTCTAAAACAACTTGTTCAACCAATTGTGAACTGAAAGCTGAACTAATATAACACAAATTCACCTCGGGCTAATTTATTTTTATTTTTTATTTGTCCTTTCTTCTCCATACCTGGGAACTCAAAATTTTCTTTAGGACTAAGAGATCAGATAAAAGATGGATGTAATAACCATAAAAAAAGGTCTGACTAAGATACTAGTTGAATAGTTATATTACAAACTCTTGCTTAGAATATTGATTGAGCAATCTAACATACAAGATTAGCCTTTTTAGAGTACAATATATGAAACATCTTGGGGGGCCATTCGAGGATTTTTCCTGATTCTTACTATTGCCACAGATGCCAAAAAAATGCGTTTAAACAATGAGTAGTTGAAAAAAGATAGTTCTCACATATTGTATCAAATCTTGAGATTAGAGTCTGTTTAAAAGTCTTTTAAAGGGTGTTTGTTAGACTCAATTAGATATTTGTTAAATACTTTAGTTCTCACATAAGAATCAGTTTCAAAATCTTTTATAGGGTGCTTGTTAGACTTAAACCAGGGAGTTTTCCACTTCACTTGCTCCCTTTTTCTTATGTAATTAATGAATCAAACTAGTTAGATTACCATTTTCATTGATGTCTTGTCTTGTATGAAAAAACGTTCTTTAATTTGCCCATGTCAAGGTTCTAAGCTAAACAGCAAATTAATTATTCAAAAGGATAAAAGAAAAAGGTAAAAGTAAATCTGTTTAAGAACAAGAACAGAAAATACAGCAACAGTAATGATGATTCGAACCTGGTCAGGACAAGTTCTTCGTCTTTCCTCTTTCTCATAGTTGCTTCAACCTATAGAAACCGACTTCTGGAAACTTCAATGTAAACATTGGGGATATGAGCTATTTTCTCGTAATCCTTGCCTTCCATCTCACGGTTCAGGCTCTTATACAATGGATAAGGCACACCACCCAAGTCAAGCAGTTTAAGTTTTTTTAGATATTCAATGCCTGGGGGCACTTCCTCTAACAATTCACAGTTAGAAATATATAGCTTTTCAAGACAGGGCATCGCGCTCTCCTCCATTAGCACCGATCTCAAATTGTTCAATTCAGAAAGCCGTAATGTCTTTAGCTTTTGGAATCCTCCAGACTTGAAACACAATTCTTCCCCTTCATAAGCTTGATGAAGTTCAACCTGTACCAGGTTGGGCAAATTTTGAAAGGATTGCAACAGATCATCTTCTAACTTGCTCCACTCTAAATGTACACTGACCAGGTTATGAAGATCTGCTATCCAGTGTGGTAACATCTGTAAACGTCCACGAAGATATAGCCTTTGAAGAAAAGGAGGAGGATCAAAAGACAAAGATTGAATATCAACAATCTCGTCCTCATTTACTGAACTTATAGCCAACGAGCGAAGGTTGCTCAACGTTTTAATGGAGGAGCACAGTGCCACCCCATCTTCCCCTTTCAGCTGGACAATCCCTAATCTCCTCAGTTGGGTCAGCCTCCCTAGCTCTTCAAGGATACTGCCATTGCTTGCATCAATATAACAGAGTTTCTGTAGGGATGACAAACCTCCAATTCCAATGAATGCTTTAAATCCATTTATATGGTTCAGTTTCTGATAACCTTTTACCATATTGTAACGATATGCTAGGAGATGGCGAAGTCCTCGGAGTTTTTGGATCTGAACGGGCAACTCAGTGACATAGGTGTCTTTAAGATCCAAAGTTTGTAGATTTTGAAGGTTTTCAATGGAACTTGAAAGCTTTTTGACTTTGGTTCCTCTCAAGCTTAGATACCTAAGATGGAACAGTTGGAAAATTTCATTCGGAAGTGTTTCCAAAGAAGCACCTCTCATGTCTAAAACCTTGAGCAGCCTCAAACCACCATTCAACAACTTAGGCAATGATGACATGGATTTGGGATCAGTCACCCCAAACATGAACAATGAACGAAGTTTAGAAAAATATTGCTTACTTTGTTGAACATCTATCGAGGTATTGTGGATTGATAGGCGTCGAATTTTGTCCGGCCATCTCATGTTTTCTTGGCTAGCTATTGCTGCAATATTCTCTCCTCTTTTCTTGAAGTTGATATACTCAAAGAAAAGGTTATGGATACGGCATGTTTTGAATCTTCCATCTTCTGTTGCCGTCGCCACTTGGATCAAACTTCTATTGATAAGCTGGTGGAGATATTCCTCTGCAGCTTCTTCAATTGTCATCCCTTGGCTGACTTGCACAAATCCTTCTGCCATCCACAGTCGAATGAGTCTCATACACTCGATTTCTTGATTTCTGGAAAAGATGCTCAAGTACAAGAAACAAATTTTGAGATAGTAAGGCAAATGGTTGTAACTAAGAGAGAGCACATCGTTAATCCCTTTCATCATCACGTTGTTGCTTAGTGATCCGAATTCGAGGCTGCTATCAAGCTTTCTCCATTCCTCAAAAGTCTTCGTCTTTGTTGCCAAAACGCCGCCAATCGCCACGATTGCAAGGGGCAGCCCCTCGCATCTTTGTAAGAAACTTCGAGAAAGTTCTACCAATTCTGGAGGACAGGGGTTTCTCCCAAACACCTTTCTACAAAATAGAGCCCACGAGTCTTCAGAAGACAGGGGATTCAAAGTGTAGAGGTTATGATTAGCTTCTCCGCAAGAGGGGGAAGCTATATCATTAGAACGTGTTGTAAGCATGATGCGGCTGCCATAACTGTTGGGCAGAGCATTGTTCATATCTTCCCAAAATGGAATGTCCCAAACGTCATCCAAAACAACCAGGTACCTCTTCCCCTGCAGGAATTCATGGATGATATACATCAGCCTTTCAGTGTTCATCCTCTCCATTTCTTGGGCTACTGATCCCTTTAGCTGTTGAATCATGTCTATTAGGAGGTCTTTCATCTTGAATGATGGAGAAACAGTGATCCAGGCCTGCGACTCGAAATGTTTCCTCACTGCTTGATCGTAGACTTTCTTAACAAGGGTGGTTTTACCCAACCCTCCCATCCCCACCACAGAAATCACTTTTTTCTCTGAATGATAATCATCGAACAACCACCTAATCAGCTCACTTTTCGGCCAGTCGATGCCCACAAGCTCAGCTTCTTCTTGCAAGAGCGCATCACCTCGTATATTGCACCGTTTGTTTTTAACCACGGTGGTAGAGCTTGAGCCTTGCCCTGAGATGATGTTAAACTTCGGATGATGATATTTCTGATGTCTCTCACCAATCTCCCTGACTCTACATCTGATGCTCTGTAATTCGAAAGCAAACCGTTGACGGGACTTCAACGTCTTGATAAAGAAAAATACCTTTCCAATAAAACCGCCGTTGCTGTGATGATGATGATGATACGCCGTACGGATCGCCACCCGGAGCAGAAGTTCGTCAATAGCATCTTCCGTGTCAAGAGCAACCTCTCGCACTTCCTTAACCCATAATTGGAGTACCAAGTCACTCTCTTCCGTTACATCTGCATCTCTAAGGAATGCATTCAGGGACATGAATTCAGATTTGATGAACTCAACTTCTTTCCCTAATCGTACCAACAGTTTCAGCTGTTGCGGGAATAAATGTTCAACCTTGTCTAAGAGAGGCACCACCAACAGTTTCCCCTCTTCCCGGAATAAATGTTCAATCTTGTTTAATAGAGTCACCACGGCAGTCTCAGCCATTTTCGTTTGATTGTTCTTGCAGTGAGTTCTCTGAGAGTTTTCCGGTGATTAACCCTTTTTTTTTCCTTCCCCTTTTTTTTTAGACTTTCGTTATTACACCGACACCTATTAATTATAATCAATGTAGTCGAGCATTCTAACCCAGACTCACTTACCGGAAGAAAAATAAATAAATAAAGAAGAAAAAAATTTCTAACCTCGAAGATTGTACACTCAACTTGTTGACGAAATGACTGTTGTATCCTCGCTGAAAAAAATATTATTTAAATAAAACCAAAAAAAATGTCTACATGAAAAAGATGAAAGCCAGGGCTGTTAAAATAATTTGCTAATTCGTCAAATTAATCCGAACCAATCTGATTTGGTTCGATTTTTTTATCTTATGGTTCGATGATGATTTTAAAAATTAGCAATCCACAATGAGCGATTTGGTTAACGAATTGAATCATGAAAAAACCGAACCAATCCAATCCGATCCGTGAATTATATATATATATATATATATATATATATATATATATATATATATATAATTATATGTATATTGTAATAAATTATTTCTATTTATTTATTTTTTATTTTTTATTTGTTTTTAAAATTCAGCCTTACATTATCGTATCTAAGTTTCTAACCCTAAGTTTTTCTAACATAAGGTTTGTGCCACCTCTTAGTCTATGTCTCTTGACTCTCTCTTCCTTAGTTCCTCATCTCCAGAGGACTGATCTGGGTAAACCCCTCACAATCTTTACCGGCAACACATATACATATATGCACATGATTCTTACCTTGAGTTATCTTATACTCTCTGGATGTTACTAAACTATTTAATTAATTGAAGTCCAAAAAGCTGGGTTGAGGCTGCCCACTCTGAGTTTGGTTGTTAGCTGTTAACTAAGACATATGATGCTGCTGTTGTTGTTGCTGTTGCTGTTGGTGCTGCTGAGTTTGGTTCGTGCCGAAGTGATGAAACGTCTACCGGTGGGGTGAAAACTGAGGATACAAAACTCTGCTGAAAGGATTTCCATTGGCGACTGGGAGTTTCCCAGTTGCTATCTTAAGCCGCTGCACTACAATATAATCATATTGGGCTGTTTGAAAAAGTTTAATCTATGGAAACCGAACCAAACTAATCCATTATTTCACGGATCGGTTTGGTTTGGATTGAGAGTCCCCACGAAACGATTTAGTTTCAGATTTAGCCAATCCGTGAAGACCGAATTGGTTTGAATTTTACCTAAAATCGAACCAATCCGATCCGTGATCAGCCCTAATGAAAACACCCCATGAAAGGAAACTCTTTCATTAATACTTCATTCTTTCTCCTCTCCCGTGCATGGATGACAGGCTGGACTCGTGGTAAAATTTAGGTATAAACAAACCTCAAAAGGCTATTAATGATTTTTTGTAAAATACCTAATGTAAAATAGATTCTTGATGACTTTGGAACCGTTTGGACTGTTAAAAGGTTAAATAGGTAGACTATCCATTTTTTCAGGATAATTTCAACCAGCCGTCGGTAAGGGTGGCAATTCGTGTTAGCGTGTCATGTTCGTATCGACACGATTACGACACGAACACGATAAGGGTCGACACGAACACTACACGATTATTAATCGTGTCTAAGACACTTGAAGCGAATATGACACGATTATTACACGTGTAACATGATACGACACGCGTAACTTGTTGTAACAACCCTAGCTGATGCTAAAATTAAAAAAAAAAATCGGCATGACCTTCGCTAAAAATCGTCCTACAAGAACCTGTTTAAAAGAATTTTAAACCTGTCCCAACACAAATATCATATAATACACTCCATGGTGGTGCAACCACATACTATATCATCCAAATATCATAAGTACAGTCCCAAAATATAAGATTAATATCGAATGTCCATGTTTTACAACGTTTATACAACTTATACTAAAATTATAGTCCATAATTATAATTACAATAATAAGGGTCCACAAACCTCTATGCCGAATATAACAAACTAAGGTTTTACAAAAATATGGGACTTAGTACACAAAATGGCAAAAAGTCTTCTAATCCAAATTAGCCTTGTGGTGGAACGTCATCCGCCACTTCTTTCCTGTTTCCTGGAAATTTTTTATTAAATAATAGGGTGAGCAAGTTGCTCAGTAAGTAGTGCCTAAGACGCACCTCTTGAAACCCCGTGAATCCAAACAGAGAATAGGACAATAGGAATTTGGGGTCATGCAAAGCCGGGAATAAACAATATCAATTATAAGCTCAAATCAAATAAGTCTCGTGCCATGAATGCAATGTTTTGCATGTCACTCCCCATTTTCAGAAAAATATCATTACTTCACAAACTGTTAATATAACCCGCCCTTTGGTGACTCCGCAGCGACACGAAAGAAGGATTGGCTACTGTCCCTGACCTTTGGTACCTCCGCAGCGTCATTTGGGACCCAGATAGCTTAACCACGTTAGGGCAATCTCCCTAGTTCCCTCTAGGCTATATTAACACACCGACCCTTTGGTGACTCCGCAGCGACCGAGTTTTCTCAAAACATTTTATCGAAACACTTCTCCAAAATCCCATTTCATTTATTCCAAATCATTTCATCCTCTTTTTTGTTTTTCGTGCCCATGTAATGAATGCATTGGACATTTTTTTTTTTTTTTTTTTTTTAATATCATTATGAGAAAATTAATACCACATAATCTCACATGCTTTCTCATATAAATTGTAACATTTCATCAACACAATAGGCATAGAGCAATAGACATGCTTTTCTTATATCATTTTCAATTAAACTACAACATAAAAAAACATGGAAAATTAACATTTTAGATATGTTTTCTATACAAATCTAGCCATACATCATTTAACATACTTCACATGCCCAAGTAAATCAATTTCGAAACAACCAACTAAAATTAGACATACTTGACATGGATCATAGTAGAAAAATTCACAAATGTGCAAGAAAAAATGAGAATTAGAGACCCCTACCTTAAAATGATGTAAAACCCCCAATTTCCACCTCAAACCCTCGAAATGGGTCAAGATTTTTTGACTCCCTAGAGTGGCCAAAAGCTGAAATTGTTGGTATGGATTTGAAGACCTCGTCGTGGACTTCAATTTGCCGCAAACGGCACTTCAAAAATCCAAGAGATGAGGAATTAATCTAGAGTGAAAGCTTGCAAAAGAAAAAGAAAAAAAAGAAATACAGAGAAGCAGAGAGCTGCGAGAGAGAAGAAACAACAGAGAACAAAAAAAAAAAGGAAAAAAACGTGGTCTTATGACCACTTAAACTTCGTGGGCCCCACATTTTTTCTTTTCTTTTCTTTTCTCTTTTTCTTTTGCTGTTAAAACATACCACACACAGACATTACATTCTCCCCAACTTTAAAAGATTTTGTCCCCGAAATCAAGCCATACCTGAGGGAGAAAACAACTCTGGATACTTGGAGCGAATCTCCTGTTCGAGCTCCCAAGTAGCCTCCTCAACTTCGTGGTGTCTCCAAAGAACTTTCACCATTGGTATCGTCTTGTTCCTCAACACCTTCTGCTGTGTGTCAAGGATCCGAACTGGTCCCTCCTCGTAGGAAACATCCTCAGCAATGTCCACATCAACCCAACTCAAAATGTGAGATGGATCTGGCTCGTACTTCCGTAACATCGATACATGGAAAACATTGTGAACTCTGTCCATCTGTTGTGGTAAAGCAAGTCTATAAGCAACCTCTCATATATAGTCCAAAATCTCAAATAGTCCAATGAATCGTGGCGATAACTTGCCACTCTTCCCGAATCTCATCAACCCCTTCCGTGGATAAACCCGTAGAAAAACATGGTCTCCCACCTCAAAAGATAGAGGTCGTCTCTGCCTATCTGCATAGTTCTTCTGTCGGCTCTGAGCTGTAAGTAACCTCTGTCTGATCAGCTTAATCTTCTCAGTAGTCTCGAGTACTATATCGGGTCCTAAAGCGACGGTCTCACCCACCTCAGTCTGACAAACAAGAGACCTACAAGGTCTACCATACAATGCCTCAAATGGAGCCATCTGAATACTCGCCTAATAACTATTGTTATGAGCAAACTCAATAAGTGGAAGGTGATCCTCCCAACTACCTCCCAAATTAAGCACACATGCCCTAAGCATATCTTCCAAGATCTGGATAATACGCTCCGACCGGCCGTATGTCTGTGGATAGAATGTCGTACTGAGATGCAACGCTGAACCAAACGCTGCTTGAAGTCCTTCCCAAAACTTCGAAGTGAACTTGGCATCCCTATCTGAGACAATGGTTACTGGAACTCCATGCAACCTTACAATCTCCTTCACATAAAGCACACCAAGTTTCTCTGCATCATTTGTTGCCTTAATAGGCAAAAAATGAGTCGTCTTGGTCAATATGTCAATGATGACCCATACGGCTTCATTGCCCCTCCGTGGCCTTGGAAAACCCGTCATAAAATCCACAGCAATATGTTCCCATTTCCACTGTGCTACAGGTAATGGTTGCAACAAACCGGCTGGTCTCTGATGCTCGGCCTTCACCTGCTGACAGGTAAGGCACTTAGCCACAAACTGAGCAACATCTTTCTTCATCCCGTTCCACTAATACTGACATCTCAAATTATGATACATCTTGGTACCACCTGGATGAACTGCAAAGCGGGAAATGTGAAACTCCCGTAAGACGTCCTCACGACAAACCGTGGGAACCACTAATAAACCCTTGAACTGTAGACCCTCATCTGCATGCATGGCCCAATCTTTCATTGTCTCGCCACTGGAGATCAAAGCGTGAATGGCATCTAAATCCGGGTCCTGTCTCTGTGACTCAATCACTCGTACAACAAGAGTAGGCTGAGCCACAAGACTAAACAAGAATGCTGGCTTACTGTCAACATCGTCATCAAAACAATGCAATCCCATCTCTGCCAAATCCTTAAGCATCTTCCACTTCCGAATAGCCAAACAGGCCAGAGTCCCACGAGATTTCCAGCTTAAGGCATCTGCTACCACATTTGCCTTGCCCGGATGATACTGCAAGTCAAAATTGTAGCCCTCTAAGAACTCAACCCATCT